AGCAGAGCTCGAGCGAATCCAAACCCAAATCCTAGAACGCGTATCAAAGCTCGAGCTCGCCTCCTCTGCCTCTCTTCCCCAACACAACTCTACCCCCATCCCTACCTCGACTCAAAACGACGCCATCGGCGCCACAGAAGCTCGTCTCTCCGCCATTCTCCGCGCCAATGGCGTGAAAGACTTCGCCTTCAAGAGGGTACCTGCCGATTACTACGATTGGTCTCTCGATGACCGGCGCGACGTTCTCGGCGCCGCCTCCGTCCACCATCTCTGCAAAAGCATTGTCTTGGTACCCAACTCATTCAACTCAAATCTCTTATCTAAAATCCCTTTTCAATTCCACTTGCATTCTGCTTTTTCTTTTTTGAATTATTTATTTGGACCTTGTATTGCATTTCCCAGGTTAACACTCAAGCCCAATCTAGTGTGGTTGATTGTAGTGACCGCAACAATTCAAAGTATTATGTTGTGGTCGTTCAGGTAACCTTTTTTTTTTTTTTTTTTTTTTTCACGGATGTGTTTAAAGTTAAGGCATTTATAATGCTGGTGTATGAGTTGCGTGAAATTTGGACCCTTTTGTTTTGGGTGCAGTATACTGCTCGGTTTAATGCTGAAGCTGTAAAGAACTTCTTGTATTCGCTCAACGAGGGGAAGATAGCCAAGAAAAAGTTCAACTGTTAGTTCTCTTGTTCTATTAACAATCAAAGACTTCTTAAGATGTTCTGAAGTTTTGCAATTTTTGTATGCCAAAATGGGATCTATGCTGTTCGCATGTTGAAGTTAATTTTATTTTTCATTGTTCAGAAATTTTGGATAGCCGTAAATGCATTTAAGTCCAATGTTAAAAAAAAAAACAAAGAATGGATAATGCCAATACTGTCAAGTAGGTGGCAAACTAGCAATGTGAGTTAGTACTTATTAGTGCTTAGTAGTAGGTTTTGTCTAGAACAAATAGCAATGTGATTTTGGGGTAGGTGATTGTGGTGTGTTTAGATGCTGATGTTACTAAATTATGCACCTCATTGTTTGATAACATGAGAATGGTCCAACTCTGTTCTCTGTTTCTTTTGTATTACTCCATTTTAATGCTGTTATCATCCCTTCTTTTGACATCTACTGTAAGAAGTGTCTTAAAATTTGCTGCAATGTTTGGTTTTTCTGGTTGTACTATTCTTCAGATGGCTTTATGCATGACCACCTCAGATTCCTCCTATTTCTTTCTTCAGTTCTCAAAAAACGTTGGTCCAACTCTTCGCACATAGTTCTTCTTGGTAACATGTTATCCAACAAAATGGTTTCCAGGATTTTATCTGTGCGTAAATCAAATAAATATCCTTTTTGCTTGAGCCTTCTCCTCAAGTTCATAGGAGATGCATTCCAATGCTACTGGATAACATTTTTTCATAACCATTTTTGCCTCAATCAAAAGTTGACGGAAAAAAATGTTATTCAAACTCCATTTTATGTTTCTTTTCTATTCCTTCTGTTTATTCTGTAATCATTTTTATATCCACTGTATAATTATTCAGAAAATGCCTGCAATGTTGGCTTTTCTAGTCCAACTGTTTTTTTGATGGCTTTATTCGTGATCCTCTTAGATTCCTCCTTTTTTTTTCTCACTCTCTCAAAGAAAGTTGGTCCAAATCTTTGCACATAGATCTTTTTGGGAACCTAATCTTCCAACAAAATGGTTTCCAGGCTTTTATCCGTGCGTAGATCAAACTAGCCTTTCTGCTTGAACCTTCTCCTTAAACCCATGGAGATGTGTTCCAATGTTATCAGGTAACATTTTTTCTTAACGCATTTTTGCTTTAGTGGACAGTTGATTTAAAACAATAAAAAATTTGCTCCACGTCCATGCTATGGTTCTTCAGTATTAATCCTGTTTTATCCCTATGGTCATCCCTCTTTTTCACATCCACTGTAGAAGTATTACAAAAGTTCCTTCAATGCCAGCTTTCCTGGGCGAACTGTTTTTGAGACGGCTTTATTCCTATCTTCTCAGATTCCACCCATTTCTTCCTTCACTCTCAGGGGATCCCGCTCTTTTCACATGGTTCTTCTTGGGAACTCCAAGAAAACGCCTTCCAGGATTTTGTATGTGTGCAAATAAAAATACTAATCATTTTTGTGTGAGCCTTCTCCTTTAAATCCATAGAGACATGTTCCAATGTTATTGTATAACATATTCATTTTTAACCCTTTCCTGCCTCGTTGGACAGTTGGGGAAGAAATAAAAAAAGAGGACAATCCAATTCCAGTCTATGTTTCTTTTGTATTACTCCTGTTGTTTTATCATAAACCGTCGTTTTGTATTTCTAAGTATATACTGTGGAAGTGTTCAAAAGTTCTCTGCAAGGAAAAAAAAAAAAAGGTGTTCCAAAATATGCTGCATTGTTGGATTTTCTTTCTGTTCTCCATTGTCAGTTTTTTTAATATGTTAATATCTTCAAGGTTTACGTTAAATTTTTCTTATTGTATTTCAGAAGGTGATAATGTTTGTTATTTGATTATGCAGTGAGGCTTGCACCTGAGGAAACTTCAGTAGAATTGACTGGATTTGAGCACAACGGAGTTACATGCGTTGGCATGAAAACAGACATTCCGGTGAACACTTGTTTCTTTCATTTATTTACTATGTATTTGATGCCCTTTGGAGTTGGAATTGTTTTTTGTGGTCTCGTGGTACCAGAATTATTTTTGCTTGACATGTCACTCAAGATCCTTTGCCTTTGCATCTGCCCCTTGAAAATTGTAAAACCAATTAACTGATTGCTCAGAAGTCCGATGTGATTGATTAGATGAAACTAGGATGGAAACTGTATCTAAATTGTGGTCCATTTCTTTTAAACTTTCCGTAACATGCTCTCAAGGTTTCATAAGCTTATACAACAACTGTAAACATTACCTCCCTACAACTATAAGCTACACCTGTGCTGTCCTGTGTTCTTGAGACAAACTACTTCAGTGCCCTTTCATGATAAGCTCCAGCACAGGACCCGAGGTTCAATTGCCAGGAACCCTGTTTATAAGTTCAGTTGTGCCAACCTTCATAACAGCTGTTAAGCTGGTCCACTTTTCAGATATCAACTGTCTATTAGTCCGAAAGTGTCAAGTTTTGGGTTGTCAAATGGTGGTCCATTTTATTGGTTGTCTTTGATCAACGAGTGTCTGCCAGTCTGCCACATCTTCCAAAAGAAGGGATTTATTTTGAGAGGTAGATTATATAGCTAGGTTTGTTAGACAGCAAACACTCTTTTGCGTGTGTTTGCACATGCATTAGTGTAGGGAGTGTATTATAATGTCTGAAATACTTAGAAAATGCTTGAACAGTGGATATTCATTTTCCTATCATGGGTCATATGATGTATCATAAACTAGAAATCACAAAACATTATGAAATGACATTGTAGTTATTGTCTGTGACGACCACGACCTAGCACTTTCACACTAAATTTTAGTAAGCATAAGATTAGATGAATTTGCATATATGTGTGTAGACAGATTTTGCTCTTCTTAATGTGATGATGTATGGGTTGGTTTCACTTTCAGGTGATCTTGGATGAAGCAATTCAGAAACTCCGTCCTGATTTCTTCTGGTTGGGTGGTGGTGAGATCGATCTGAAGCTGGGCATCAGAACCTCTGAATTTATAAACTTCGTTAAACCTTTTATTGTCAGCTGCAGCAGTACTTGATTAATCTAAAGAAACCAGAATCCAAATTTATAAAAGAATACTTCATCAAACAAGAGCGCATATTGAACCGCTGGTCCTGCCAATCTTGAATATTGATTAGCTTATTTTTGGTTGAATATTTGTGCTACCAAACATAAATATCTAGTTACTATCATGTAGCTTTTACTCGCACCAAAGATCGATTCATTTCAAAACATTGTGGCCCATAATCAACCACTGTAGTTTGTGTATAGAGCATGTGCTGGTTTCTTGCCAGCTTGTGAAACTCAACCCCTATCTGGAAGATTTTGTGAATTGCTACTGCTTTCTTAAATACCAAACATAGGCAAACGTATAATTTGGCTATTTTGTTTTATACCCTAACACTTAAGTAAATTTAGGTTTTAGCCAAAAAAAAAAATTCACTTTTGGAAAAAACCAAAGTTTTTTCAAAAAGGACAGAAAAACCTCTTAACTTTTAAATCAAAAACATGCAAATGTAAATGAATCCTTAGGAAATTCAAAAATAAATAAGGGCAATTTTGTCTATTTTGATTTCTTTTACAAAATTTCTCTCTCCTTTGTGTTTTTTCAAAGTCTCCTTTTTACTTATTTCCTACTATTTCCAAGTCACCAAAATGGAATATGGAATTCATTGTAAAGTGGGGGCATGGTGTCAGCAATTTGTGAAACATATCCCTCTCTGAAGTGCGGTTATTAGAAAGTAGGTAGCCATATACTTTCAGAGGAGGAAGGTTAGCGTCAGCTATTGATGCATATAAACCTCACAATGCATTAACAACTTAAAATCCCTCGTATGCACATCAACAACTCAAAAACGCTCATATGTACAAGCACGACTGAACCTAGCATAATTTCGTCCCCGACAGAAAAGCAGCGAGCCTTAGCAACCAACTAATTGAACGTGATTATTTTGGATACAACTTCCTGGTCTTTTTAACATGCAGCTTATTTGACTAGACCAATCACTCGAAATGGAGAAACCTAGAAATACCACCGAAATGGATGACAATGACAACACAAGCAAGGAGGGTTGCCATGCGACACATCCATGTAACATGTTTCACTTAGATTACAATCATTTATTAATCCGTTAACATAAAAACACACATAGAAACAATAAAAAAGAGGAGCCATCATCCATCAAATCACCATTTTGTCACTACTGGACTGCTCACTGTTGCAGAAAAGGAAAACACTTGTTCTCTATCAATCACGAGGACAGGATCTTTCTTTTTCTTCTTCTTCTTCTTCTTCTTCTTCTTTTCCAAGGTTTTGCAAGAGAGTTTTTATTTTTATTTTTATTTCTTCTATAGACCAGGTAAATTACAAATACCATTCCCACCAACCAAGGACAAATCACTATATAATTTTTCTTTGGGCTAGCTAGCTAGAAATGAAGTAAATTCCATCAGAAGCAGAAAATCCGGATATGTCTAGGACTTTCTATTGTGAATGGGTGGCTTCCTGTGAGGTTGTGCGTAATCCATAACACCTACGTCCTCAATAGCTTCATCTTCCTTCGAATCTTTGTCTTCCTCCATGTTATGTGTTGCAGATCCCAGTAATGTCCGTGCCTGCCTCTTCAATCCCTAAAAACATACAGCATCAATCTTCATATGCATTAATTTCCATGCAAAATATATATAATTGATATAGATACATATATACGTAAAGGTTATCTTATCATGAGTCATGACAATCGCGAATACTGAATCGATCTGATCCATCGATTAGGTTCTCTTAGCATATTAATATGTGATTCAGATTCAATCTAGCTCATAAGCATACGACTCATAACATAATTAGGTTCTAAACACCTTTTTTCTTCTCAGCCCTATATATATATGTATATGTATCATGTATCTCACAAACGGCTATATGTACAGTTCATGCATGAGCAGACCACATGCCCTGATTTCCTCACAGGGGACATGGTTACAGTAGATATGGCCACTTGCACCACCAGTGTAACAGAGATCATTCAAAACAATCTATAAAAAAAAATACTAAATTGCACCCAGTAACTTATGTACCTGCATTTTAATCAATTTCTTCTGCTCAACCTGGGAAGATGATGTAATAATATCATATCCTGCACACCACCATACATATCTTCATCATCAACAAGAATATATATACAAAACCAAAAAATAATTACCTAATTGATTCGAAGATTTATAAGAACCTGAGGCTGGTCCATTGGCATGCCCTTGTTTCCTCAAAATAGCCGTCGGGATACTTTCATGGGTGAATGTTTCAGCGTTTATTTGTTGTGCTTGGTATTCAACTGAGATGGTAGGCATCATCGATGACTTTGAAGTCTCACTTAAAACTTTCTTTACATCCTGCACCAACCCTAAAATAATTAGGCCACTTCAATAAGTTAAAACTAATAATCACTTAAGTTATTACGATTTCTTTCATATGTTTCGCACGTTGTATGTGTCTATCTTTGTCAGCACGTGATAAGGTCATGTGATGAGACACATGGTTTGCTTGCAACCGGTGATGGGGAACAATTAAGTACTCCAGATTATCGCATGCAGTTCTAACAATTCAACAAGATACTATGATGACCAATTTTTTTTGGTTACATAACAATAAATTAGGCATGTATGCACCGCATGATGGAATTAAAACTCCATGGCAGAACTTCTCAAAATATTATGTACAAGAATTTAATCAGATGTTGAAATATTTGCACCCACCTCAACAGAATGGTAGGATTTACTGCCACTTTGCTTATCAAAGAGGCCTAGAAGTCGGGCATTGCATGCATGGATAGAAAGACAAAGAAAAAAGAGAAGAACAATGGAAGACATATTATGAGAGAGACAAAAGAAATTGGAGATTATGATCTGAAGGATTTGAAGACTTGAAGTCACACACAGACGATGAGAATATGTAATGGAAATAACTGAAAGTCTTGTGTATGTGAGTGGGTTAAGTGTTAGGTTTTGCAGAGTATTTGTAGTGAGAGGGGGAGGAAGAGCAATAAATGCAGGTTGTGTATGGGACTATAACCGTTCTTAAAGAGAACATGCAGGTGTTTGGGTGATGAACCTGTAAAACCAAACTTGAGATATTGGGGCCTCCCCTTGTCCCCTTTTCCCTTCATCTCTCACTTTTTAATCAATTGGAGGGCCCTAAGAAGCTGAAAACCATTATTTGAGCTACGTATCCAGTAGACATAATGCATGGGAATAGATATTGAGAGAGGGAGGAAAGTGTGTTAACTCCAAAATTAACGTAAATATGTATAGGCATACCATACTTATGAATCACATTATAAATCACATTTATGATAAATGTGAGATCCATTTGTATATGTGAATTTTACTCTTATTGGAGAAGTATTCATGAAGTATTCATCACAAGTAAATATGATACATGTAGCATCACCAGATGATTTATAAGAATTTACTGGGGAGATGAAGATTTGAGTAAATTTGGTCTCCAACCCATGTATTTCTAAAGGATCCCCCATTCCATGTTTTTTGGTTGAGAAAGTATTATTACATTATGGCTTTCTACTTTTCACCTTAACTAACATATCTTTATATATTCTAGTGATTTTAAGATGCCTAATTTCAGTCAATTTTAATTACATGAAAAAATATTCAAATTCGAGTATAGAAGGATGAGTACATTGTGTTATCCAACTAACCTAATTCACTTATGCCCCATTAATTACACAGATTAAACACAAGTTATTGTAACTAGTTAAGTTAAATGAGTGAAATTGACTTGCGTAAGAGATTGTATGAAGTTGTAAATGAAGTTTGGAAGAAATTGAAAGGACCCATAAGTGTCCAAGAGTGTAGTGGGAGGTAGGGACATGGGATGTGGGGGGACAAAGGAGCATGGCCAAACCGTCAGATGCAGCTCCTTTGTGGACATGGAAAGGTCCACCATTCCCCACCAGCGTCGGTTTTAGTATGCACTCTACGTGGCATGTACTCCATGTGCCTCACACTTGCTTTTCCCTCCACATCACCCCCTCCTTGGCCAAATAGTTTGGATTGTTTTGTTTTTTCAGTTTAACAGCTATTTGGGCCTCGGCCATTTAAAAACCTATGGGTCAGCCTACCATGATCACGAACGAGCCCAATTCATTCATAGTATTGCTGGGAGGCTATACTTAGTTTTAAATAATAAAAAAATTGTCTTATAAACGAGCGGCTATAGGCTTTTACATATATATACACATATTTTTCAATAATACATTAGTGTTCTATACAAGTCTCACGTTTTTAAAAAAAGCAAAGGTACAATAGTCATATTGTACATGTACATACGTATTTCTAACATTTAATACACATAATTTTTACCCAATTTTCATTAAGACACACAAAATTCATGTATTATACAAATAATTCTCACATATTATTGAATAAGAATAACATATGTTATAAAAAAATATATTGAAATATTATATATGTTTGTCACAACGTGATTTGTAGCTCATACCGTCAACAGTTAACAGTTACTCACGTGATGTTGAATTACTAGCCTTATCATTCGTTAACAATTGCTCATGTGACGTTCGATTACTTTTTCTAGCGTTCTTTGTGTGTTGCTCTTGGCTCATATCATGCATGTTTGTACCATATCTGACTGGCCTCTCATGCCATGAGACGTGGAAAGAACCTAACACCAAACAGGGTCCAAAAGCCGAAGCTGGCCAACCTGCCTTATGAGCGGTGGGTGCCTTCAGCACCCATTACCGATTCTACATTGGTTGACCCACTCTCGCAGGCTCACAATCGATCGTCTGCAAGTGCACTAGTCACCCCCTGCCGATTCAGCCTCCCAGATTGTATCTTGCAGGAATCTATTAGGTTCCTTATTGGTATACTCCATAGGACTTGTGGCAGCCCCCAGGTTATTCCCACAAGTCCCACATCGAAAGTTAACGCCAAGTGGACACCCAAAACCTCTATAAATAAAGCTCATTGCCCATAGGGCACAAGGTAGTAGTTACTTCACACTTATGACACTGCCTTGTCAATAACTAACTCATCTCTCCTTCAACTAACTTTAGTATTGCAGGCCCTTTGGCTAGTACCACACCAATACCTTAGGTCTCACTCCTTTTTCTTCCCTTTCTCTCCTCGCAGACAACCTTTAGCCTACCGAAAGGAAGCTCTTACCGAAGGCAAATCACACCACATCATATTTTTAAGTTTGGGCTCACTTCTGGTCATCTAGTTATGAGCACAAACGAGGCACAACCCATTTGAAAAAGTTATTTCTCAAAGAAAAATCGATCTACACAAGCAAAACAATAAAGTTTGGCTCTTTAAAACTAAGGAGGAGCTCCTCGTAAAAGGACCTACTAGTGTAGTGGTTTGGAGCAATTGGAAATAAAATTGACTAGTGTTAGAATCCCATTTGTTTTGAGGAGGTGTTTCTCCTCAATTTTAAGGAGTCGAGCTTTTTCTTTTGACAAGTATCTTAAGCTCTCAAAGTTTTTCCCTTGGCTCGTAACAAATTTAGCTTGTTTCAAGAGTTTAATGAACAATTAAGAAAGTGTGTTTGGGAAAGTACAATTTCATACCTATAAGTCATCTCCAAGTTTAACTAGCAGAAGCTCAAGTCCAACGAACAATTAATAAATTGTGTCTAGAAAAAGAAAAACATATAATATCTACAAGTTATCTGCTCTTAGAGCACTTCCACCGCCAAGCAACCAAAGGCAACTCCAGCGCAAGAGTTCCAGCCTAGGCAAACAATAGGCCCCAGCAACCTGGGCAAGGCCATAAGCAAGTTCAACCAGAGCTACTGCCTAGGCAAAATGACACAATACTGACGTCATAATGATGTCGACAACCAAAAAAATTGAAAAAAAACCAAAATTTAGGATTTTTTTAATAAAAATAAATACCTGGCCATATTGTTTACTTCCCACACCAAAAACTCTATATAAATTTATCTCCTCATATCTCATGTGAGTAAAAATTGCCTTTACCTAGCCCATAAGAGCAACTCCAACTATTAGTGGACCTGTGCAGGCGCAAGGAGGTGCACATGCACCTCCGATCGCCAGAAAACTCCATAGAAGTTGCTGAAGTTGCACCTTTGCTCATGCACGGAAGCTGTTCGATGAAATGCCCAAGTGAAGCGCTGCTGTGATTTGTCCTCCACAAGGCTGCAATGAGCTTTTGGTGAACCACTTCTTCGAAATAAGAGATTATTCATCGAGTTGATTTGTCATATCCCGGACAACTTCAGGGAAGTGGCTTTGACTTCAATCTACCAAAAAGTTTTTTTTTTTTTCTTCCTTTCTTTTTCGAGGGATAGGATATGATTTTATATTTAGTTTCAATGAATATATTTTTTCTAGAACAAAAAAAAAAAAAAAAAGGTTTCTCCTTGTTTATTGGGGGTTTTACACTAAAAAACTCCCCCA